CGAGCGAATTGTAATAAATGTCCAAGATGGGGTGTTCGCGAATGTTTGTTCGGTCGAAGACCAGCAAGTTTGGCGTTCTCTGACTTATGTCCTCATTATGGAAAAGCGGGTTGTATATTCGGAAGGCGACCTGCAGCTGATGAAACATCGAACAGTATCGACACTATACTACGTCAGACAACAACAAGAGCAGTTTTATCAAGCAATCGGCAGCAGCCATGTAGGTGAACTTCAGCACGTTTGTTCGTTCGCTGGTCTCACTGCCTTTATTCAGCTTAATCCGTTGCTAACACTGCAAATGCATGTAAGCGTGGAGCATTTGAAACTGTTCATTTTACGTTTTACATTGCGATATTCACTCGTATCCACATTTATTTCAGTCATCTTTCAGTTGTGTATTCGTTCTCATTGAGCGTTACTTAATTAGCTGCGTAATATGCAGCAAGATGTTGAATTGATCTGAAATTGCTAATTTTAACTTGTTGTGTTCCGTGGTGTAATTCTTAACTGATTTTTGTCGATGAACAATCTTGGTGACATTTTAAACTCACGTTGAAGTGAATTTCGATTGTGATTTTGCATCTCTAATTATATTATTATTTTGTATTAATTTGCATCTCTAATTACTATTTATTTGTTTGAACAGATTGGATATGTCAGAGTCAGCGGTAGATCATGAGTTAGACTTAGAATTGATTAAGGCAAGTCATGTTTCGATCTTGTTCATTCCGATTAGAAGATTCAATGATTGTTTGAGTATGAGTATGCATTGTGTTCTTGAAAGAAGTCAATGATTTCTGGCCAGACTATTCGTCAGACTAGATTCAGCATTCTGTTACATTTTTCACGTCTCGAAACTTCATCGAAAACTATTCTATATTAGATTCTAAAAGTTGGTGTAATGACGCAAGAAATTGGAATATGCTATCAGAAAGTGAATGAAAGTTCAAGTTTTTGGTTATTGCCTTGCNGTTTCAGTCAGTTGTTACAAATCCGTGTTTGTATCATTTATTTTAGAAACGATTCATTATTGTTTGATGAAAATTTCTTGAAGCGTCAGGTTTTATTTGAAGAGTGTTATTATTGTATCAAGATGTCGGTCCATCACAATGGCGCATGATTTCGCTATGTTCTGTGTTCCATTTCGTATTGTTATTGCAAGTGTAATATGATTACTATTAACTGCATTTACAAAATGCATTCACCTGTTGGCTAATTTCATCATTTTCTGTAGAAAGGTAGTCGATAGTAACCTTTGTCAAGCTATTATATTTTAATATTACTAATATTGCCATCTTATTTTACTTTCATTTTTGGTAATTTTCTCTCTAACGATTTTTTACGACATGATCTTTCTTTTTTGTATTTGTTTTATGCACAGTTGTGAACATTATTTGGTTGATTGATGTATTCATTTTTAAATCATTTGTAAAATTCGTTATTTATTGCTTAGACGAAATTGCACATAATTTGTTTACATATTAGGGAAATGATTGAGGTGACAGTGAATGCAGTCAGACTGTTTCATGCCGAAAATGATATTTGTTTGTGTGGATGCGGTTGATGCATTTAGATGCAGTCTAAGCACTTGAAACAAATTAAAATGAAATCGTCATTTCTCACAATGTCGTTGTTATTTCCTTCATCAGTTATCACCTATCATTGCCAACTCAATTCATCCGTCTTTAATAAAACGCATTCTTGAAAATGCTATAGGTCGACGAATATTTCGATGGAATTTTGGTGATGGAAGGGGACGGTAACTAACCTCATTATGAAGTATTGTAATGAATTGTGACAAAATTTATGTGATGTATATAAGTTGAGCTCTTTTCCATATTAAGTATGAATAAAGTAAGTATGACGACGTCTATGAAGGAATATGACCGTTTACAAAAGCGTTTTGTTGAATGCATTTCAGTTTTGTTTGATCAGACTGCTGCCAGTAATCTCAGTGGTGTTTTTTTTTTCAGCAGCGAAGTTATCAATCGAGGAATTCTATCAAGTTACACCAGCTGGTAAACTTCAAGCCGCCGATGTTCTTCATAGACATCCAGAGCGAATTGCAGGTTGGCTAAATGACACTTGCAAATATTAATCATCGCAGTGATTACTATGTCTCAAAAAACATGAGCGAGCAATTCTAATTTTTGAAGAGCCTCAGTCAATTGTCTCTTGTTGTGGCGTAAAAATTTTAATCTGTATCATTCATATTTTAATTGGGAATTGATCAGGATTATCTGAATATAACCAAAGAATTGTTTGAAAATTCGACTCTGAATGCTTAGATTGAATCAGAATCAGAAGGTTGTTCATAATGAATCAATCGAATCAACATCGTTTGAATTGCTAATTTCTTTTCGGACCTAAAGAATGTTGTAGCTGAATACATGAGAGCATATATGTGAACGGTCGTACCAGATGACAGCTGCAAATGAGATGCAAACTCACAAGTAATGTATATTCAGGTTCCAATAAAATCACTCCAAACTTGGAGAATATATGCAGTCATGATTCCGCAGCACCTGGAAGTGCTCATGCAGCTCCTATACCCAGCACCACCGTCACACCAGTCAGTCAAAAATCACCACATGTCAAACGAGCCAAATGGCATTTGGGTATCAGGAGTCAGAGTCGACCAGGTGTGAATTACTGCTCTAATGCAACAACATAAGTGCTTATCTTTAAAAGATTTGACCACACTTGATGAGTTGATGTAAGGTGTTTGTTCAAAATTATTCATTAGATATAACTAGATATTCTCAGTATTAAGCTTTTTATTATCAAATTTTCAGAAGACATTATGTATGAAGTTTTTCGTGCTATGAAGACCCTTGATTTCGAATGGAAAGTGCTCAATCCGTATCATGTGATCGTTCGCAAAAGGCCTGAAAGTCCAACCTATGAGCCGGTATGTCTGTATTCGATTTTGCTGAAGTTTGCACGTACGCTTGCTTGATGTTTTTGATGTTTGTTTATATGTGAATTCAGTTGGTGAAAAAGTTAATCCCGCTTTCGATGAGTGATTATTCGTTATCAAATTTCATCTATTTACTTATTGTTGAAGACGAGTAATTAGTTAGCAGTGCTGATAATTTGATGCTTCTTTTGTAATGGCATTGAATCAAATTTTGGAATTTTTATTGTACAGTTTATGTGGATTGTAAGTTATTGATAATATTCACTCCATCGATGAAATACCCCTTTGTTATTATCAAATCGATAAGAATATAAATTGATTGCAGCCGAAAATGAGTTTGCAATTGTATCAAGTTGATCAGAAGAGTTATCTACTCGATTTCAAGAGTTTAGTGGATGAGGAAAGTGGTAATCTTTATTTGTTTTTCTTTTGATGAAATTTATATAATAATCGCTGTGCTGTTAGTACCGTTTTCACCGTTTAAACTTAGTTGGCTTTTCAACTCAGTCGCCTTCAGTTTTTGGCTTTGAGTTTTTGATCGTGAGAGTCGATTCATCATGTGATAGAAGCTCAATAATTGATATTGCTCGAAAATTTATTGTTATGAGTTGGTTCATTTAATTTGTTGTTGGGCGCTAAATATAAACGAAGGGCCGTTATCATTTGCGAAGCTTTTTATTACTTCGAGCACTTTCACGCCTTTCTTCATTATACCTCGGTCAGTTGCTAACAATAATGGGCGTGCTGTTAAGGAAGTGCTAGTTCATCGCGACATGCGTCTGTTTCGATGCCTGTGAAACCGTCACTACGGGCTAGCCGTGCGCAGTCACTACCAATGCCTATGGAGGTCAGTGACGGCTTTTTCTCTATGTTGGCTGTTTTGTTGTTTAGTGTTGCCTACCTGTAAAATACCTCTCAGTTCAATTCGAAGTTTATGCATTTTCAATTCAGGTCGACCAAACACCACCACCTTCGCCAACAGTAACAAAGCAGTCGCAAACAATGCAATTTTTCGAGATGTGTGCTTCACTAATCGGGACTTTAGCGCGTTGAATGCTGTTTGAATCGACAATCAAATAATAACCATTATGTAAACAATCTGCGTTCGGTGTGCTCTTATAAAGAGTAATCTTAACCAGAAGAAGCCGAACAACAACTGTGGATTGTGTTGTATTGTTCATACATGGCGCCTTCTTTGTATTTTGTCAATTTGTTGTTTATTTTTGTATGTCGCTTTCAAATAAGCACATTGATCTGATTAAGAGTTAGCATGTTTGTATTGTTTCATTTTTGAATGTTTATTGTGATGGAGTTGTTAATTTCCTTCGAACGCTAGCAAGTTGAGATATTTTTAAATAGCAAAATCGATGTGAGAATAATGAAAATCTTATTAGGAGGTCATTTTCGCTGATCAGTTCTAATTGTATCTTTATTCGATGAATCTGTGTTTCATTTCTTCGATTAAAAGAAAAAGTTCATTTATCATTTCATCCACTCTCGTTGTATATAATAAACTTTTGTCGTTTGGCTAGTAATAACATTGAGAAGATAACAGCTTAACGGCTTCTTTTTCATTTCGATAAGATATGTCTGAATTGTGCTTGGCGGAAGGATCTGCAAGCAAATTTAGTGAAAGTTTGAATTGGCATAAGAGCAGACTTAGTAGGACTGTCTTGAATCTGAACAGTGTCAGCTTTTGCTCATCAAGCTATTAACCCATTGAGCATTACGGTAGTTAGTAACGAACGTGATTTCGGATGCGAACGACCACCCATAGTGAACCAGCTCAGTGGTTAAAAAATTCAGCAACCTTAGGCAGTCATTCACAATGAGTGACTTCACAGTTAACGACTGAAATTCAACAATAATCATCCAAATATGATAACTTTGAACGGCAGATTACGTTTTTTTTTTGAAGTGAGACTAGTAGTGTGGGTGCATGTTAGCCGCTTCTTGTTGTTAGGTGTTGAAAGTGGCTGCGAATGTGCTCGTTTGCTCTTTTTAATTTTATGGTAAACTATTGCATTAAATGAGTTAGCAAAACTCCTTTTAGCATCTCACATTAAAATGAATTCACGAGACAGTTCACGGCTTCAGAAGTCCGTAACCCATTAAACGTGCTCTGTCATCAGGGTTTGGAATTTAGGAAGCTTTCTCCATCATTGGAAAGCGGATTACAAAAAGCAAAGAAAGTATTTCGAATAGCATGGAATTTTTCTGGCATTGAGGCACTTTGTGTTACTAAGTTTTCAAGGCATACAGCAGTAATAGTGACACTTAAATAAAGACTAATTTAAAAAACGATGTGAATGGTTGTTGTCATATCAAGTCGCTTAAAGATTTCATGAGAGGTAATATTTCAGGAGAATTATGTCTTATCGATTCATACAGATATTCGACCCATGCAAGTTTATCGTGAGATGTTTGCTTTCCGTTTCGTAAACATATATTACCCTAAAAGCGATATGATTAAATCCCACCAATGAAGTATAAAAACACCCTGGCAAATTCGGTCAATCAAGGCCCAAGCCTAACTTGATTGAAGCAGATGACAATGAATTGCATTCGCATGATTTTTGTGTAGTCTTGATATGCTACTTGGCAGTCAGAGATTATAACTTTGAAATGCTACTTAATTTTCAACCGTATCAGCACAATAGTCATTACCAAAGATGGGCAATAGCGCACTATTGTTTTCAAATAGCGAGATTTTCTAACGATAGCTTCCGTTACTGCCGTTGGATAGCACTTCAGTGAGCTACTTTTTCGCGAACGTTAGCGCTTTAGCGAACCACTTCCGCTTATCTGTTCATCTGCAAGTGAATGTATATTTTTTCCAACATTGAGGTTATGCAAATACATATTTGCGCTGTAACACTGCATTGACTTCGAACCTAGCGAACTCGTACTCTTTCGAACGGTTTGAAGTTGAATATTCAATCATATTTGGAATGTTTGCTTTGAGTGCACCACTAGCATTCCGTCTGAGATCACTATTTTGCTTTCAATAAGCTGGGTGGAAGTGCAATGATGTTCTCTTCACTTTCGTTCTCGCTGAGAAAAGATGTGATCGGTATTTATTCGCATGATAATACGTGCGTCTATGTTAACTGCGAGTGATTACAATATGTTGATTGGTGCTGGGGAGAGTGAGTACAAAGGTTGAAAAAAGAGAAAAAAATCGAATTACATATATCACTGAATCAGTAAAATGAGAATGATTAAAAATAGGTGAGTGAAGTGGCATCTTCTTTCGATTCCTCTCTCTCACCTTGTCAAACAGCTAACGAAATTTTAACAGGGATGAGAGGTCGATTTCATATGGTGGAATTGATGCGAGTGTTATTTGGAGAAGTTGTGAGGAGACAACATATTGAGAGGGTAGATTCCAGGCTCTAACGATTCTATTTGCGAAAGAGAGTTTTGTCATGTTTCGTTTGCAATGCTTGACGGCAACTTTAACGGATTCGTTCAGTGCTTGAAGAGAATTCGAAAAGTTCTTCCACTGGGAGATCAACCCGATGTTGTAGGTTGTTCAAAGATCAATACAGAATCTTCGCACTTCTAATGCTTTTATTCCTGATATTGATAACTTCGCCTGGCATTCGGATACGTTATTGAAATTCCCACAGTGCCCCTTAAAGTTGAAACGTGTATATCCCCTTTGAACATTTTTCACTTAGCGTTTATCACCGTATTGATCAGTGAAAGACCAAGCGGAAGAGGTATATTGTAGGGTGGGCGAATTCAGGTTACGTACTTTGCTTAGTATGGATAAGATAATGAAGCTGGCTGAACGTTCTCAATGTAAGTGATACCCTGGCGTTAGCTTTTTCGGTTACGCTGGAAATATGGTGATGAATTCTAATTTGAGTTGCTTATGACGCCTTGATTTTGGATGAATGAAGGTGGAACTAATTCTTTGTTCTGGATGTTGAGGGGTTATTAGAATTGTTCTTACCGATTCTAATCAATTTCGTTTGCTTTGATGTTAGCGGTACAAGCCAACCGGATAACTATTGATTTATGAGATTACATATAGTTTGTAAATTGTTGGAGAGCGTGAAGGCGCAAGGAAGACCTTTAGTAGAAATAAGAAGGTCAAAAGAACCTTGAGGAACACCACTGTTGATGTACTCTGATGAGCTGAACGAATCAGTAACTTGTACTGATTGAAAACGGTTTGTAAGTCTCTGTTTCAACTGGACAGACAACTTCGTACGCCCTTAACTTCAAGTATAATTTAGGTATGGATACCGAATCAGACGCTTTTCTAAAGTCAAAATATGTAGTGTCGGTGTAGCCTTTCTCGTCTAGATGAGATATCCAACTTTGCCAGGGTCAAAGTGGAACCGCAGTGATTGATCTCCTGTCCAGAAAGGCACATTGGAAAGGGAAATGCGGTTCCATTCAGAAAGTGCGGTTCCACTTTGACTCTAGCACAAAAAAATTCTTCAGCTTTATGAAATTATATATAGTTTGTAAATTGTTGGAGAGCATGAAGTCGCAATCTGGAAGACCTTTAGTAAAAATAAGAAGGCCATTGTAAAATGGTTTCTCAGTTTGGTTGCAGTTATTTTCTCCAAAACTTCAGAAATTGAGCAATTTAATACGATGAGATGGTAGATATGTGGTTTATTTCAGAATCTTTCCCACGTATAGGTGTGATGATCGCTAATTTTCATTTAAGGAGGCTGAAATAGGCGATACGATAAGATCCAAATGATCCAGAATTTCAGACGAAATGCTCAGCGTGTTGATGTTCTTTCCAGAGAATAAGAAAGTATAATGTGAATTGTCTGCCAATTGACTGCTCTTTGTCTTTGAATTTCGTTATCGTTGTTCGGTTATTTTCTCATCGCTGGAGTTTGTTTTTATTGATGATTGGCACTTACTGCTGAATTGATTATCTGTTGCTGAATGACACAATAAAAATCTTCTGCTGTTTAATGGTCTAATGAGGTTTTTTTCGCATATGAATACGTGGTGCAATTGCAAATTTTGAGGAAAGGTTTCAAACTAGCGAATAGCAAACTAATTTTGTTTAATCAGCAGTTCAGGTAGTGTTTCGCTACTGGCAATAGTATTTTTTTCAGCGAACCAGACATTTTCTTTTTCAGCAGATCAGCAATGGCGGAGCTACTGTTTTTCAATGACGTGCTTGTCTCCACTTATTACACTATCGTTATCGCACATTAGGCCATAAAATTGACATGGAATTCAGCGTATTTATGAGTTAGTATCATGCCTACACCCCTCCGTAAAGAAGCACCAATGATAAACCAAAATTAAAGGAATGCCATATTATGTGATGTAATGAGAACAAAACAGAAGGAGCATTTATTGGAGTGCATAAATCACAAAAAAAAGACAAGAACAACAAACTCTTTTGAACGAACACAGTCACATCTCATTTATATAGCGCACAATCAATTGCTCATCTCGAGTGTTCACATTTCGATAAAGTCGCACTGCGTCAACGCAACTGCAGGAAGGGGAAAACTAACAAGTTCAACCGACAAACTTTTTGAAAAAGATCGACTTCTTGCAGTGAAGTGGTCGTTCACTCGGATCTGTTCGTTTAACCGACGAATTCATGACTTATATTGCACATTCTTGGAAGGATGATATTTGAAGGCTGAGGAGAGTGAGAGAAGGAGATATGATGAAGAGATGTTAAAGTAAGGGATAAATTTGTTAATTATTAAGTCGATCAGCTGATAAGTGAACTGCAAAAAAGGACTGAATGACAGAAAAAATGAACCAAACAGATGAAAACTGTAAAGAGAACATTCACAAAGAACTCTGGTTGACTGATCGTAAGCAAAACAAAACTGCAAGACAATAATATAAAGTCTAACAAAACGGTTTACTCTATCGACGCAGTGCGCATAACAAAACTAAAAATTTAAAATACACAACAAATCAAAGCTACACGACCGTTTCTAAAAATGCAATAGGTGAACAGCTCAACCGCTGGATTCATTAAACTGGCTCTCTCAAAACTGCGCAACTCCATAATGCAGCTACAATAAACCAGCAACAAAACTATGAGGAATTATATAATTGATTCATTGATCGCATCAATGAGACTGTGAAACTTGTGGTTGTGTAGCAATGAAGTGCATTTATGTGTACACTAATAACACATCAAACTGATAAAATTCAACTTGTCATTACTTTCATGTAATGGAACAAAATAAAATCAGCACAACTTAATCAATCATAAACTGATTCATTAAGCACCCCATTACATAAAAGATATATATATATGTATATATACATATATACAGCAAACATCAAAAAACAACTCTCAAAAAATCAACAAAAAAGGAAAACAAAACGACAAAAAAATTGTATTAGGGAAAAGTGTGGGTCGAGAGTTGCAAACCCCGTAAGAATGTACTCGGATCAACTCGACGCCCAAACGTTCTCCAAGTGATTCATTCAAATATGATGTCCACGTACCGAAACGTTATCTTCTTCTTGCACCCTATCGCCTTTTCATGACTCGATTCAAACCAACAAATTCCAGCCTTCAAATGTACGTCCTCTGATCCCTTCCAAACGATCTGCATCTTCATTTTGAAGACAACAAATCAATTGCGATTACTATTCAACCATTCCAATCATCAAACAAGATATCATTATCAAAATCATATAAATTTTGAAAATTCACTAGAAATGACTTGCTGCTCCGAGAGTGACAAAACAAAACTCTCAAAAGATTATTAATTAATTAACTCAAGCAGATGAAAGAAAATCGTTAACAAAAGGCAAAAAAGAGGCGAGGTCCGAGTTCATTTTCATATGAAACGTCAGAGTTCGACAAAGAGAACAGAGGAGAGAAAAGATCGTGAAGCGTTGAAGGTAGCGTACCGGTTGTCCTGCCCTGTAAACAAAACTCTACCAAGAGGAATAAACTCAGATTCTTCAGCACGTCACACACTTGAAAACGATTAAATTTAGTGCAACAGACTGTTACTTTTATATAGAAATTTTCATGTTTATAAAGAACTGGGCGGAATACGGACGAAATGCCATCAATTTTTTTGAAAATCAAGAGAGCTTAAGAACACTGAAAAGAAAGTAAACCCTGGGCAGATGAATGAAGAGAGTATATAAAAATATTCATACGACTGAATGATAAGCCATATGAAAATAATTCATCGTTGAATAGACACGCGAAATGAAATGAGGTAGACATATAACACATAGCGATTGTAGTATTGACAAAACAAACGGTGATAACGAATAAAAACATTTCTAGAAATAGAACTCTTTATACGACTTCGAAGCGAATCGACAGTAGGTGTCAATAGTAATGATAACTCAGTGAATGGTGTCAATTCCCTCTTATCAGTTTGCTGGTAATGAAGCAACAGATGGCACACACAAACTGAATCTATCTTTCAAGGTGATGCAGTGTAGTCGATCAGCTGACTGGCCGACCGAGCAGATAAGGATACAAACAGGTAGGTATGTACCTAAATAGATACATACACATAGACAGACACACACAAACACACCCATACAGACAGAGGCAAGGTTGGGCATGATCGCAGTCACAGCTGAAGGGGCTGAGTTGAGTCAATTATGACAGATAAATGGATGTTGCTGTTATAGATCTACACCTAGACTGCATCGAGAAGCGAGAAGCGAGCAAACAACATCATATCGAGGTACAAATAGAGAGGAAATTACAAGTTGGCACAACACCCAAAATCGATGACTTACACACAATCAGAATAATCTACGACAGCGAGTGTAGCGTTGCTCGCTTGGCCATGCTCTCTCTCTCAGTGGCTTACGCTTGCTAACATTCGTCGTTTTTCGAAGAGCTTGAGACCATATGAACGACGCCTTTAAACCCGTTTAAAAACAAACAAAATCAGTGGAATAGATCAGCAGAAGAACAGTGTGTATATGCGATTATCATACGATAAGAAATTGAAAAACTAAACTGTTACAATAAAAATTTGTTCGTTACAGCGTTAACACAACAGTAACAGAATTAAACGAACGATTGCATTAATACACATGTTGGATTATATTCTTCGAACGCCTCAAATGTTATCAAAACTAAGTTGATTACTAGTTGACTGTGAAAGTTCATGTCGAAGAACAGCTTCCATATTGTCCAACTCCATTAAAGGCTGGTCAGGTAACGTCAAATTTTCCAAGTCGAGTGGTAATGCCGCTGTAGGACCAAGTGTTTGCTGCGCTGAACAACTGATTTGCGAATGTAATCCGGGTATGAGCTGAGCACCTCCTGTATGTATCCAATTCGGTAGCGCTGTACCAGTTGCCGTCGAATACAGTCCGTTATAGGGCAATCTGCAATTGATTAGTGTTCTGATACAATGATTATAAATAAAGAAAAAGTGAGATAATTTCATGGCGTTTTGTTTCAGAGCCAAAAGAGACAATGAATCAAACGAATGCATACCCAGCTGGTGGTGGAAGCCTATTTTGAATGAGATGTGTTCGCAGTAGGGGGTTCTGTAGATGTGATACACCTCGGACTGCATTCAGCTCATGATATGATGGTGGAGGCTGAACACCGTTTGCCTCATTCTAAAATTCCACTTTCATTAATGTTACATAGGATGAGACAAAGCAGGGTAGGGAGACTGTGCGAACGATTCGAAAAGAAAGAGACTAGGTGTTGTCAATGAACGCAATAACATATCATACTTCAATAAGCTTAACGAATCGCTTCAATCACTTTGTTAAAATGATATTTATTTGACCATGCGCGAATATGGTTTGTTGGGTGGGCGTAATATGAACGAGGAGAGGTTACATCACCGCAAGATAAATATCTGCTTATCGAAATTATGGCGACAAGCAATCACACAACTCTTCAACATGTGACATGTAAGCGAATATACTTAAAAGTTGATGCAGAAGTATGGGTCATTGTTTTATCGAGAAGAGAACTTATTTGCAAATATAACACCAGTTAATAATGGATTATACCGATCGTTAAATGGAAATAGAACGGATTATAAACGAGATGTGTAATGAAAACGAAAAAGAGGTTCGCACAAGAGCGCGAGAATGCATTGACGGTTGCAGATTTGTGTTGCTGTTGATAAGGAGTAGTTGGCGATGAATTACCTTTATGCTGTTGGGTGGTGTCGGTTCAGATTTGATGTGTTGCAAGAGAGATGAAGCGGATGAGGAAGAAGAAGCAGCGCTCGGCTGTGACTGCGCTTGAGACTGATTCACAGATCCGTTTAACATCGGATTGTGGCCAGCACGTTGGAACACTGAACTCTCTGGATGCGTATTCAAATTCATCTGTAAACCATTTATGCTTAGATCAATCTCACCTTATCATACACGTCTTCCTCCCTTCATTCATCATTTTGAATGAACCGTTAAACATCACTTCAGCAAACATATGCTTTTATAATAATTGATATAAAATAATTTTCACTTGAGAACTAATCGCAAATGAACAAATAAATGAATGCATTGCCCATAAACAAATAAACGAATCAGAACAATGTCACACCAAAGCACCGAAAAAACGAACAAGGACACCCGTGAATCAATCAGGAGATAAATGATTTCGTCAAGCAGTCAGCTTTAACTTACCTCATTTGTACGATCCAATATATCATGTGGCATAGCTCCAGCTTCAACAAAAGGTGGAAAATCGAAATCATCAAAATGATCGGTGGTCATTGAAGGAGAGACGCGTGACGAGGATGCCGTTATCGATAAATTCGATTGCGTTCGTGGACTAAATATTACTTCAGTATTATACACGTCACTGTTGTAGTCAACTGCCACTGAGTTGAATTCAACATGCAAAAAAGAATGTCGATAAATCAATTACATACCGGAACAACGGCTCGAAATTTCCCAACGAATCATCGTTATCACCATACAGCTCGTGACTAATTATCGATGCCTTAAAATAGAAACAGTGATTAACTCACCGTTGAATTCGCAAAAACAGAAAACGACATTTGCAAAGATGCTGAAAACATCACATTTTCAGCAATCAATCGGCGGAATACAAGAGAACGATAGTGAGAGCAAGGAAAACAACGTGTTTTTCAAGAAAAGTAGCATCTTAATGAAATTTGATCGTTCATCATTCTCAATTGACCATACAGAATAGTCGATCTTCAAAAAGGATTGAGAAACTTGACAAATCTGTGCTGATTCTTTTTTCAAACAACTCTTTCGTTGCTGTTCACTACTTTTTTTGTCAAGATGCGGGTTTAATCATAAAGAATTGATTCCTTTAATACAACTGACTAGTCTTTAGTAGCAAATTTCATCAATGGATCAATTTCTTCATTTTCTTTTGACATATCGTTAAGTTATGAACCATCAAATGAGGGAGACCTGTCATACAGCCGAAAAGAGGTACGGATTTCGCGGGCTTTAGAGCCATATATATATTTCACGATAAATAAATAATATATATGTATGTATGTAGATAAAAGCAAAACACATTCGTAATGATACAGAAAAATAAGCAAACCTGTGAGCCAACAACCGAGCTGCTTGCACTGTGAAGTGTGCCTGCTGCACGCAACTCCATTGCTTTTTTGCGTGCACCGCGACGCTTCTTTTCGATAGCAGCCTACATAAATTGTTTACAGACCTCTTTATCTTACTTATTTATCATACATCTTTCTTGGTTTCATTCGCATATGAATTAATTTTGGACAGCTTCTCTCTGATCCAGCAGATTTTCTATTCACGACTCCGACTAGAATTCTCCGAAAAAATTTTCAACACATGAATTGAACCACCTTATTGTATACATACATTAATGCTTTATACAAAACTGATTCACTAGTTGATGAAATCGTCGAAAAAAAAACATACCTTGGTGGTATTCTCGAGAGTGGCCGAACGTTGCCTGCGCGGGTTTCTGCCAGGTTTTGCGTCTGGGTTTATGACCCACCACGAACTCTTACCAGCTCCTTCATTTTGAATTCGCATGAAACGACTATGTAGCGACAGATTGTGTCGTATCGAATTCTGTAAAATTTTTCCAGTTAAAGATATCAGTCCATCACCTGGTAATCATATCATCTCTAAAACACCCCACTCAACCAGCACTCTTTTACTGATAGCCAAACAACCCGACGTCCATCAAACAAACAACAACCAATCTTCCTTACGAACAGATATCATCCATCATCACAACAAAATGAGGCATACGTTCACTTAATTAATACGATCTTCTTTAATGCAATATTCAAAAAGTAAAAGTTGAACAAAACAACTGCATGAGAATGTTCATCAATGCACCATCATACAAGTCAGCTCTAATATCCATCCATTTGTTGCATAAACTATGTCGGAACGAATTTCATTAAACACAAACGAAAAACAAATTTTGACATTTTTCATTTACCTTCCAACCAGCAGCCTCTTCGGTACTTGATTTATCACGAAAATACGAGATATTTGTGGAGAACCAGAGATAAATTTCATTAAGTTTCATACGCTTTTCAGGCGCACATTCTAATGCTTTCGCAATCAAGTCTGAATAACTTTCTTCACCCCAAGGATTTGGTTTCTTTTGATTAGCAACTTGATCAGTTGTCCTTTTACGAACGCGTTTCTTTTGAATAGTGAGCAATGGCGAAGACAAATTGCCGCCATCCGAAGCGGAGCATAGCGAAGAAATATCGTTGTGAATTAGGTGAGGTGATGTGGCTGTGCTAGCAATAGTAGCTGTACGTCGATGAGACAAGTTATCAAGAAGATGATCAGAAGACGGTAGTTGTCGATCGGTAGATGCATGCAGTACTGGTGGAGGAGGATCAGTTGGTTTATTCGTAGTGGATACACTACACAGTTGCTGCATTGGCCACGTGTAACAGCGTGAACGTGATTCAGATTCCGATTCGGATTCACTCTCCAGTTCATCATCATATGCACAAATCGAGCCGTTCCTTGCAATACTTTCCATATCTTGCTTATGCAATCGCAAACAACGTTTGAATGAAGCAGTGAAAACGTTGGCCAGTTATCAATAAGAATTGCACTTCATCACTAGGCACACAAAAAGTGATTCAATTGACAATAGTAATCGATGGTTGATTATTCTTCTCGAAATAACACGACAAAAATTATATTCGCAGCAGTTGGGGAATGTCGATCATAACCTTCAAAAGAGCAGTATTCACCTAGAGTTTCGCACTTGCACTCTTCATCTGCTTCGCTCGCACTCGTTTTCTTCATCAATATTCAATCTATTTATGATCAATCAGAAATGATGAGTGTTGAGACTAAAAGACGTTATTTTGGAATAGTGAATGCATAATGAAGACGACAAACAAGCACAAGACGGACAAAATATTGAAGAATGAGGATAAAGAATATCCTACAGATACATACACATACACGTATATAAAGAGCGATAGACAGATGGCATAGATTTGGCTGCGCTCTGCGGCACAAAAAAGGGTGCACAGCTGCTGAGGGAGTAACACAAGAGTAGGGTTAGAGGTCACTACAGGACAGAGCCAGGCCAGGATAACCTCCTCACTTGATAATAGCCACGCACCCAACACACCACTCCACCCTCGATATATTTTCTTTATTCTCATTTAGATTATTGCTTTTCTCGATATCGATTACCCTCATACACATTTGCAGATATCAGTATGCAACCAAAGGGATGACAAAAAATAAATTCATTAGTTTGTCACACACACTTATTTACACGATACGCTTTCAAAATATATTCCAACGTCATATCAGCGTTCGGTCGCTTTCAAGTAAAGTGTCTCCCTATGGTGTTTGCACTTGGCTTGTAACAATTTACAGATGCATTTGGGTCGGCCAAAAACTTACTTTCTTTGATTTTCCGAATTTTCGACACTAAAAATGTTTACCGGTCGTTTTTTGGATTCTACTGGGCTAATTCGCAAGTTTCCATGTCAGCCAATGGCTATACGAAACGAGATCAGAATTTCTAGTTCTACCTGTCTCTTTTCTACGATTCCCTCTCTAATCGTAACATCTCATTTGTGGAAGACTAATGCAATTTCAACGAAACTACTTTTAAAATTGAGAGAGACGAAGATCATACCACCAGTAAGTAGGTCGAGCTACTAAATCCTCACCTAAAAATCCTTAACTGAATTGTCAACACTGAAAAGCAATTTATTCAAATACATCACATTCAACAGTTCATATATATAAGGAAGTGCGAACTCAATCTGGAGCTCAACTCGTACCGACAATTTTCGAGTTATCGTTTTCATTACCACAGTTTCTATTTAAAAAACCTCAGGTCATCATTTCGCACCATATAATTTTGAGTGAGCTCCTTGTCACTAGTTCCACATCTCTTTTCAGACTAAGCCTTCAGTGAATTCTTCAATTAAAATGTCTGTTTCTTCCAGGTATTTTTATCTAGTATCCCTCAACTTTACTATGATCGCATACTCTCGTTCGATTAAGGCAACTATTCGATCATGATGATAAGTCTAATTTACTGGAGTTTTTTTTTTCAGTCTTTTTACTCTATTTGAGAGCTTCCTTCTCTTCTGTTCCGATAACTTCGAAAAGTTATCGCAACTCCTCTCCAATCTCAACATGAAAATAAAGGTTGTTTCTTTCACAAATCACCTACCACTTTTCATATTATCATCAGGTTGTGTTATATGAACTCAATTAACTTATTGTAATGACAAAACAATGCATAAAATATCCAAAAGCACTCTGTGCCTCAATGATGCGCACATTTACCGAGAACAATGTGCGTTGGCTGCAAATAGCTTTATCGAAAAAAAGAGTGCTATTTCATCAATTGTTTTCCGCTGGAGAGATGCAACGCTTAAGGAGAGAGTTAAGGAAAAAAGGTATGCAGCGAGAGGACTGGAAATTCCGGGCTTGTTTCCACTAACAGAAGGATGAATTGAAACTTGCAAATTGACTCGACGAAATCACAAACAGACCATAACACGTACCCAACCCCAAAAAAACTGCTCTTGACCCATCTCCATATATCGGTCATAACAAACAGATCAGTAGGTATTTCAAATAGTTTCCCATTCCACTGATGTGAGTGATGTGGCCAATTTTGTCAAAGTATGTATGGACAGATAGATACATTATCAAATATTATTCAAACTGTTTTGATCGTGTGCAGAAAAAACTTGCACTTAAGATGACGTTTGCAATTCAAACCGCCAGCAGGTGACCGCCATACAAAGGAAGATTGGTTTCGTTTTCCCATGCGGTATCCTCACATCATTCTATCGACGAATATTGAACAGTTGCAAAATTTGAGTGGAATTTTGAAGAATTATTCATAACATAACATAATTTAAAGCATAAGCATGAAAATAACCTTCCATCCGGCCGAACTATTCGAGTCACCTTTATCTCTAAAGTATGGAACGTTCTGCACCATCCATTCATAAACTGCAATTAGGAACAGTTTCGCTTCAATAAGATGTGATCTTTTGCGAGCTTTTCAGACGATAAAAAAATGGTGTTGACTGATAGATACTTAGATAAGTGATCATGAGGAATTAAGATGACGAAACCTTGCGATAAAGTGAGTCTTTTTTCAGCTGAACTCATGATCGCCTGCGTGATAAGATCAGCGTAAGACATATTGCCCCAGGCATTGCGCCGTGTGGTTGATTTCTTGTTTGAGCCAGGTGCAGTGGTACCTGGGTCGGAGGTATCTGAACCAGCGCTTGACGGTGGAACTTGTCCGGAAGTGTTACCGCATGGTACTGGTGATGACATCCTTTAAATATAGCTATAAAACTGTACACCACTACTTATTTACAGAGCTAATTCATTAAATTTTTGATATGAAAACTCTTCTCTAAAAATTCCTGAAATGGACTTCAAAAGCAAACCCAGGTGAGAAGGCTCCATTATCGGGCGAGCCCATCAGACCCGCAGTTGAATTGGCACCCAATCGACCGTTACTGATACTTTCCGTACTATCATAAAGACTGAAAAAAAAATCAATTAATCCAAATCAACCAACATCCTCAGACATATTCCACAGTGAATAAGTGCTCTTAAAGAATTTACGAGAAAAAGAATGCAATTATTACTGTACATCTGATCATTATTACTACCATTATTATGGTTATTAGCATTCGTATAACCTTTAAAAGTTACACAAACGCGCATTTTGATTGGTGATTAGGAACGAATAAAACCATAAATTGATGATAACACTCCAAAAGGTGATATGATTTGCGAGAGAGGTAATATTTAAAATATTAATAAAATAACAGAAGGAGAATTTGAAAAAGAGATGGATTGGCTTAATATTACGGCATTGTTCAGAGTAAGATTTACAGTTTCATTAAAGATAATTACTCAAGTTTAGGAGATTTCAGAAAGACAATGATATGAGAGAATATTTTCAGTATTATCTCGGCAACAGCGGTACTTCATAAGTGTGACTGTTTACTGACAGATTTAGGCGAGGAGAACGAATTAAACATAAATAATTGAATGTGAACAGGGCGTGTGAATACAGCAGGGCTATCCAACAATAAGCAAACAATAACAATCTTCACAAAATGCATCGGTGAATTTCTGTAATTCAAGTATATCGAAGCATAATCATCCCCAAAAACAAAATACAGATATGAGAGCGACAGAAACGCATAATGAACGAGAATGTGACTTGTTGACTAGGAAAGTTATTCATTCGCATATTAACGGGCAGTATCTTCCACTCATTTTGGCATCTGATTCATAAATCAGCACCTATATGTTACGTTCAACTCATCCTCCCTCACATCATATCTTGTCATCTCGTGCTACACAATAACTTTACGTGCTTACTTATTTATCATGCACAACACTTTAAATTGGCGATACACTACTTATATAT